GAGAGGAAAGTTGCATGCTTCATCGGTGCTGTACTGCACCCTGACTGGCTGGTGGGTTTCCGAGACTGTTAAACTCTGTATGGGAGGAGAAAGTCCTGTCTTTCTCCCGGGGGAGGGTCTTGTGGTTTCGAACACCTGACCTTGTAGTGATCAGTGGTTTCGAACACCTGACCTTGTAGTGATCAGCCCAAGGTATAACCACCACGCCACCAGGGCCTACTTCCACGAAAAGCCCACAGAGCAGCTCCACTCTGTATGCACAGGCTTCCTGAGATTTGGCATTGATTCGGTGGACATTACCAGCCAACACCCCTGTGCAGTACATTCGGGGCACCTCTGGCTCAGACTGGGAGCTCCCGGGCAGTGTCGATGGCTTGAGCGACTGGCTGCTAAGCCAAGGTGTGGAGTTGTGTCTACCCACAGGCACCTCACAAGAAAGGCCTGGCAACTCTCTTCCCCAAGTTGGCCGCAGAGCCCAGGTCCCACTCTGGCACACCGGTGGTGCCATGAGTCAAAGCCTACTTGATAGTGAGTTTGTAGCTTTCCTTTCATGGTTAGTACTCAGGTTCCAGCACAAAGCTTGGGGCTGTGTTTCTTAGTGAGAAGAACTTTCTTGGGTCCACTGCCAATACCCTATGATGGGGTGAGATGGTGGCAATCCAGGGGAATCAGTCAGGGTGGTCCCAGGGGCCCATACAGACGGGCAGTGTGAAGGATGGTGAACACTGGGAGGCAGGGAGAGCCGGGCCTGTGCCCTAGCTACTGTGGGCATTTTGCCCAGATCCCCTTTCGTCCCAGGGCACCCAAACTTCAGCTGCCATGGGTCCCAACAGGCTCTCCCCTTCCTTGGTAGACCTGCCCTGGGTTATCAACAGCTGCCTGCCCTCGGCAGCCATGGCTTGCCCACCCTCTCCCCCTGGTAACTGACCAACACAAGCACCACAGGGCAGCCTCCTCTTGTCTGCTGGGGGCAACAGCTTTGGCAGTCATCATGCTGCAGGGAGCCCACGTGGGTCAGGCTGGGGCTCTCCCTCTCACCCTCACTCCTGAACCCCTGGCTACGTGAGCTTCTTGGGATCCCACGTCATTTACCTAATGGGACCGTGAACACACTGAGTGAAGTCAGGGTAGCATGCTGAGCCTCGGTTTCTCCAGTTGTAAATGGGGTTTAGAATAGCCCCTGCCCCTCAGGATTCCCTGAGAGTGTTCGCACCTAGCAAGGCACCTGACCCTTGCTAGGTGTTATTCTTGGTGTTAGCTTTGGGATAACCCTCGATTTTATTGCATAGGTTCCCAAATTCCTTTGGCCTACTGGTCCCTTTTCAAGAAAAAAGAAAAAAGAAAAGAAAAGAAATTGCTCAGAGCCCTTCCTGGCAATGAAAAATGTTAGTACTATAGCCAATAAATAATCCAGGATAAAGGCTAGGTATCTGCTGCTGTCGCCCCCTCCCCGCATGAACTCCCATCATCCCAGTGCCTCACCCCCAGGGGGCGGCATGGCTCACCCTGGGAAACACTGGCTCACTGATGGGCTGTGATCACTGGGCTCCTGCAGCCTGGGGAGGTCAATGCCTTCACCCCGTGCAAAGACCTTGTTGACATTCATCTCGAAACACCTCACTCTTTAAATCCGGATGGCAGGAACCCAAAGAATGAAGCCGATAAGATGTAAGGTGGTGCTAAGCTCCCTCCCAGGCCTGCTGTGAGGGTAAATGAGTTTGAAAAATGGAAGAGCATTTCCAGAGCCCGTGGGGAGGGGAAAACCTCCCACAAAAACACCATGATCTTTTCATTCCATTTTCTGCAACAACATTCTGAAGTCCCCTCATCCTTCAGGGGTCCTGGTGGTGCCGTTGGGCAAGCCCTCGGATTGCTCACTGCCAGGTTGGCGGTTCAAACCCATCAGCCCCTCAGAGGGAGAAAGGTGAGGCTGTTTGCTCTAAGAAAGAGGTACAGCCTTTGGAAAGGCTAGCTGGGGTCACGATGAGTCAGAACCGACTCTATGGCGTGGATTTGGTTTGGGATCGGGTTTTGTATATTTGTATTTTGAACAGTGGGAACGTGGTGGCGTCGTGGGTATGCATGGGGCTGTGATCCGAGAGGTTGGCAGTTTGAAACCACCAGCCGCTCGATGAGAGAAGGATGGGGCTTTCTACTCCTGTAAAACAGTGACAGTCTCAGAAACCTGAAGGGGCAGCCCTATAGGCATGCTATAGGCACCTGCGTCCTATAGCACGCGGTGAGTCGGCACCGCCTGGGTGGCAGTGAATTTTTACACATCGCTTTAGCAACAAGGATTGTTGTTTTGATGCAGTGGTTATTTTCTGAGCTTAGTATGACTGTTATGTTGCTGCAAGCACAGACACACACGTGTTTTTGTTTTTGTTTTTTTGCAGATGAACCTATGCTCAATCCTGACCCTACACACTGCAGTCACTCGCCCAGGGTGGCATAGAAGTGTCTTCAGGGAACAAGGACGCAGCCTGGAACGAGGGTGGGCTTCGGAGTCCTCCCTCTCGAGCTGTGAGAAGTCAGGCGAGTCCTTCCTGAGCCTCAGCCTTCGCATCTGTAACATGGACTTACGGGACGCTGGGCCACCAAGCAGCTGGAAGTCTGATTGCAGACTACTCCCTGTAGGCCCAGGAGTCAGCAGGCACTTAATCAATAGGAATGGTCACCGCGGCCACGCTTGGAGTGACACTGGATTTCACGTCTAGTTCTGCCACTTCTTAGCCACGTGACACTTCTCAGGCACTCGGAGCCTCAGTCCCCCTGCGCAGAACGGAGTTCTCAGCTCTGTCCAACTTCACAGCATTGTGAGAACAGAACTGAACTGGACTCCTGACTCGGAGTAGGTGTTCAAAGAATGGGCGCCGTGGTTATGGGCGAGGTGCCCTGGTGGTGCTGCCTGCTACGCTTTGGACGGTTAACCCCAAGGTTGGCGGTTCGCACCCACAAGCTGTGCCTTGGGAGAAAGATGAGGTTGCCTGCTCCCACAAAGATTTAGAGCCTTGGAAACCCTCTGAGCGACTGAGTGGTAATCGAGTCAATGGCGGCGGGTGGTTGCGGGGGAGGTGCCCTGGCTTGCTCTCTCGAGCTCTCTGGGACGTGCAGCCGGGGTCCCTGAGACCGCTGCCCTGCCGCAGGCTCTGGGAAGGGAAAACGGGGGGCCACTGCCTGAAAGCAACCCCTGTACTGGGGCAGAGACTCACGCACTTGGGATTCCAGACACCAGCTTGAGCGGCCGCAGCACTCGAACGGCTCTCAGCGTCCGCAGGTCAAACTCCGTCCCGACTGTCGCCAAGATGCTGCAAGAAAGAAGCCAACAGGGAAACAGGGTAGATTTTGCTCCAGAGAAGGGAGGTGTGGGGCGGGGAGCTGAGGGTTGGATGTTGCCAGACACGCGGCTTCACAAGTCAGGGCCCCAGCTTCCTCACCTGTGTCGTACCTGGCTCTCGTGAGAAAGGGGGATTTACAGAGACCCCCCCAGAACAGCTGTGTGGCGGACGCCCAGAGAGGGATGAAAGCTTCCCCGTAGCATGGGGCAGGGTGATGGTCATATTTCACGACCTGAAATCAGGGCCTGGACCAGGCAGAATGGGGTTCTGGGGAGTCCCTGGGTCTTGGGGGAGGTGGCAGGGCAGTGGGAGACCCTCCAGGGACTCGAGGGCCACAAGGCTTGACTAAATGGCAGAGGAGCAGTTAGTATTCAGAGCCTCGGCCTGCCCAGGTTCAACTCCCAGTGCTGCCACTTCCCAACAGGGTGACCTTAGGTAAGTCACACGATGCCTCTGTGTGCCTCTGCTTCCCTTGTGCATCCTGGGTGAATAATAGGACCGACTCTCAAAGCACGGGGCTAAGAGGATCAAAAGAGGTAACCTTTGTGTCTGTGTGCCAGGCCGTGGTGGTTAGTTAGCACGTCCCTGCGCTGCTGGAAGTTGCTTACCACCAGCATCTGGCGCTTCTCGGCGGTGCATCCAGCTAAGGCAGACTAGGAAGAAAAGCCTGGCGATAGACTCCCCAAAATCAGCCAATGAGAACCCCATGGGTCACCACGGGACACTGGCTAGCAGAGAGTTGGAAGATGAGCCCCAGGGCAGGAGGGCACTCAGAACACAGTGGATCAGGATAGGCTGGGGTTGGGAAGACAATGTAGGACCGGACGGCCTTGGACTCTGTTGTGCACCGGCTCACCTCGGGGTCCGTGATAATAGCACAACGTGCTGGCGACATGCACGCCGGACATGCGCCAAACTCAACACTCAAACTCACGGCCTTTGAGTCAGGGCTGAGTCAGTGAGCCTCCAGCGCAGGGTATAACTGGCCCCGTGAGTGTCTGAGATGGGGAATCTTTCATAGGAAGCCTCATCTCTCTCCCATGGAGTGGCTGGTGGATTTGAACTGCTGACCTTGTGGTTACTAGCCCAACGTGTACCCACTATGCCACCAGGGCAAAGGAAAGGAAAAGCCAGACGGGGCTGCAGACCCTAGCGAGGCCTTGCTCAGACTGAACCTCCTCTACAAGAGCTTGTGGGACAGCACGGTGACCGAGGGAGCTGGGAGATCTCTTCTCAGAAGACCTGGTCCCAGGGACCCACTTGTAGATGTGCTGCTGGAGAGATGAGGGGCCCCTTGGCCCTTCACCCTGCTCCAGCAGGCCCATTTCAGAGGTCAGTGACTGAGACTAGGGTCACAGTGCTACATGGAGGGCAGCTGCCACCCGGCCTTCAACGTTGACAACGGGGTGGCTGGGTGTGGGGTGGGCTCTGTGGGTAAGGAGAGGCGACCGCGTGTGGCTTTTGAGGAGGTCTGGGCCTGACCACAAGGTCAGCCGTTTGAAACCACCAGCCACGCTGAGGGAGAAAGTGGGCTGTCTACTCCTGTAAGGAGTGAGTCTCAGAAGCCCACAGGGGTAGTTCTACTGTGCCCTCTACAGTTGCTATGGGTGGGCATTGACTTGAGGGCAGTGAGTTTTTTATTTGTCTAGGGGGTGGGGTGGGGGGCATGCCTGGGCCAGAGGTCCCTGCCTTTCATTGTCTGAAGTGTTGCTCCCAAGCTTAGACAAGTGCAGGAAATGAACACTCCCTCACCCCCACCCCCCAAAGCCAAGGGGTCCAGGTGGCACAGTGGTTATGTGTTAGGCTGTGATCTGCCAAGTCCGCAGTTCAAAACCACCAGCTGCTCCTCAGGAGAGAGACGGGGGCTTTCTACTCCGGTTAAGAGTTACAGTCTCAGAAACTCACAGGGGCAGTTCTACCCTGCCCTGCAGAGTTTGCTATGAGTCGGAATCATCTGGATGGCCGTGAGTGAGTTGTTTTTAAACTCCAAGGGGGAATCGGGGGATCAATATCCCAGCTCCCCTGCCTTGCATTCTGGGTCCCTCTGAGGTGGGGGCTCCACACAGGCTCCCGGCTGCCCCCTGCAGGAGTCCCTGCGGGACTCCCCTTCTGCCTCAGGATCCCTTCTCCCCCAGGTGGCTGTCTCGCGCACTCACCTCTCTGATAAAAGTCCTAGTTCAGGGTCAGCTCCTGGGGCACCCCAAACTAAAAACAAGGAGTGTCTCCCTCAGCTCTCTTCGGACGACTTCCCCAAAAGATCTGGGCCTGCGGCTTGGACTGAACGACTGTCTCCACATCATGAATCGTGCCTCTGGGCACTTCTGGTGAGCTGGGCAGAGGGCAAGACCGGAGGCCTCCCTGTTCCCTGGACTGAGGCGGACAAGGCATTCATGGAGGACATGCACACAATGAATGTGCACCTTCAGGTGGGCGGCAGGGACACATGAGTCCAAAGCCAGGAAGACGATGGTGTGGGGTGAGGGCAGACAGCTGGTACGGAAGCTATCCTGGGACCCGGGAGGTCCCAAGGGCAAGAGCTCATGGATGAGGAGGAGGGATTTGGTCTATGGGAGAATGAGAGAGAGAGAGAGGGGTGTGGAGAGAGAGAGAACTCTGGATAGGAAAAAGCTTGGCACATTCAAGGAAGGGGACGGAAGTATGGCTGGAATCTGGCTGGTGGTGATGGTGAGGGAAAAGGACCCTGGTGGCGCACTGGTGAAGCACTCCATTTGCACCCATCTGCCATTCCACCTGCTTCCACCGGGATCACAGCCTTGGACAACTGTGGGGCAATTCGATGTGCTCCTAAAGGGTCACTGTGAGTCGGAAAGGACTTAATGGCAATGGAATTTTTTGGGGTGGGGTGGGGGGATGGTGAGTGAGTGGAATACCATCAAGTGTTAGAGACCCTTCACGGGGTGGGGTGGGGGTGAGGCTAGGCTTTGAGAGAGCCTTAGACAATGTTACAGGTGTGTGATCCATCAATTGACTTCATTCTCTCTCCCCTCCAACTGTCTAAGGTTAATGTGAGGCCCTCAAACTCTTGTCTTGGGCATCCTGGGATGCCCCTCCCCCTCGGCAGACGGGCGGCTGCTGTTGGGGAGTGGATGGGTTTGGCTTACTTCCATCACCAACATCCACCAAGCCCCACCATGGGGGCACAAGTCACAGAAAGCCCTGCCTGGGTACTTGAAGAATAAGCTGGGCCTTGGGTGACAAGGGTAAAGAGAAAAGAATACAGGGAGGCTGGAAGGGCCGCGTGGGCAGCAGGGGCACCACGAGGGGAGGGAGGAGCACCGTGGCTTCACAGAACATGTCCAGGAGAGGTAGAATAAAAGAGGTGTATGAGACTTTAAATTCTCCAGTGGTCCAAGGAGCTCTGGTGGCTGCTCACCATGAGGTTCAAACCCACTAGCCACTTGGCGGGAGAAAGACGAGGCCGTCTGCTCCCGTGAAGGCATCGTCTTGGAAATCCTAAACAGAGTCGCCATGAGGCTCATGTCCTTCACACCTGTGGTCAGGAGCGGCCAGCCCCTGGGGAAGGGCCTCGTGCTTGGGAAAGGGGGGTGCAGCGAGAGACAGAGGAAGGTCCTTGAGGAGATGGGTGGACACCGTGGCTGCAGCATGGGCTCACACGTGGGACAAGTTGGGAGCATGGCCCTGGACCAGGTGGCCCTTCATTCTGTTTCTAAGACAGTCGCTGTGAGTCGGGACTGACTTCACACTTGCAGACAGCCGGGTTGGAATAGACTCGGTTGGTTAGCCACATTGCAAAGGTGAAACAGAACAGAATTCACTTTCATAGGCAACTTCATGGGACCCCAGTTATCGAAAGTATCAGCAATTCAAAGGCGATCCAGGCCCAGGTGCCGCCAACTCATGGCAGCCCGAGGTGTACCCAGGTAGCACTGGGCCCCAGGGCCATCCAGGGCTCACCAGGCCTTTCTTCAGAGGTACCTCTGGGTTAATAGTCTAGCGCACTGGTTGTCAACCTTCCTCATGCTACAGCCCTTTCTTACAGTTCCCCGTGTGGTGGTGACTCCCCAACCGTAAAATTGTTTTCGTTGCTACTTCATCACTGTTATTTTGCTACTGCTATGCATCGTCATGTAAATATCTGATAGACAGGATGTATTTTCATTGCTACAAATTGAACATCATGACTGCATCGTGATGCATCACAAAGACAATGTGTACTTCTATAGTGTGAAGTTTTGATTTCTAATGACAAATCAATGAAATGTTGTCTGGAAGCATGGTGTAGCCTGGGTAGATGTATCTGCATGTGGACAGACCTTCCTGGCTACGGAGAGAGGAGGGTGTCTCGGTTCTTAAGACCACCAGAAAGGTGTGTTTTCCGATGGGCTCAGGCGGCCCCTGTGAAAGGGTCGTTCGACCCCTAAAGGGGTCTCGACCCACAAGTTGAGAACCGCTGGTCTAGGGCATTAGCCTTTGGGACTTGGCAGTCACATCCATGTGATTAGTGCTGCAGTTTTTCTTTGGGTGCAGCCTGGGGAGCGTGGTGTGGATTGACATGACAGCTCATCTCAGTTTGAGCGTCCAGTCACCGCACGTGGCTAGTGGTGATGGAGCCGGGCGGCCAGTTCCACTGGAAGTGAGGCGTGCGTGACACTTGGGAGAAAGTGAGAGACAAGCCGTGTGGGTGTGGCAGGGAAAAGGACGCAGCTTGGGGGATCAGCATGTGCCAAGGCCCGAGGCTGGAGCATGCAGGTATGTCTGGGGAACAGCAAGGAGGCTGCTGTGGCTGGAACAGGGGCGGGGCAGGGGGTGTCCACAGAGGGAACCAGGGGCCAGTGGGCTGCCAGCACGTGTTCGGTCTTTGCTGTGGGTGAGGGTGGAACCATTCAGGGTTCAGAGCAGAGGAGGGACAAGATCCTTTAGGCTGATGGCGGGAGCTGGGCGATCGGGCAGGAAGAGGCCCCGTGAGCTGCGAGGGGGCTGGGCCAGGG